GTTCCACATAGAATCTGTTCCAACAGAAGCATCTGTTGTGCTTTTGTCCTTCATCTGCCCCTCTTTCATCTCAATACATCAAAAAGAAGTTTTGTAATAGTGGATGTAGTGTGTCAAATTAGTGTGTCGTATATTCATTAGTGTGTATATAATGTGTCATATTGAAAGGACTATCTTTCTATATGAATAATATTTTTACTAGTTTCCTAAAAAAATAAAAAACAATCAAGTTCTTGAACTTGATTCTTGGTGCAAGAACTGAGATAAGCTTTACACTTCTTAACAAGCACCTAAAATCAGGAGATGAAGTTTACAGTTACAAGTGGCACCTGTGCCCTGAAGAGATTTTCCAAGACATTGGGCAGACCCTGTCTTTTCCAGGTTTTGAAGGACATGACTTACAGACCGTAGCCTTCTTTCAGTTAAGCTAACTGAATGTAACAACCATGTAACAACACTGCCCTTGTAACCCGCAAGTAGTTTTATAACAGAGCATGAAGACCTGCTGCAGAAGATTATGTTATGATTAACTGCCCAATGTAAATAATGGCTGATTACAATTAATGAAAACAATTATTCAGTATTTCTTGTAAACAGAGCATTTGATATACGCTGATGACACAGTTGCTGTAGTTGTAATCAAGTTTTTGAAAACTTCAAAACTTCAGTATACCCAGATCTAACAATCCAGTTAATAAGACAACTCACAAGTTCGAGAAGTATTGGACTAAAAGTGACAATAAACAAGAGACAATATTTTTCTCACTCTACTGAAATAAATCAAATACCATGTAGAAAAATGGTCTTTACCATATGGTTTCCATGTGTGTCACTCCAAGTTCCTTTCTCCCACACATTTTGTTTCACCGTGTACATTTTCAAAATCACCACAAAGCTTGAACTCCCATATTGGATATAAGAGAGCCAACAATTCTAAAGGCTGGATAGTTCTACTTTGTCTTAGGTTTCTTATGCACTGCCAGGTTTAGTGACAACATCCTTTTTGAATAATGTGTGATCACAAGGGGCACCCTTGATGACTTTGGGTAAAATTAATTGCATTACTCTGTCTAAATCCACTTGGATAATTATCTCATTGCATTCGAAGTTATCACATTAGCTTCTGTTAGAAGAGTTCTTTTTCAGTTCATTCTGCAAGGCTTTCCTCTTCTTTTTCCTTTCAGCGATGACTGAATTTCAGTGTAGTTGAAGTACATCTCTATGAGAGCTCAAACATGCAAGAGAATTGCAACAAAGCACTCTATTACATTGAAGTTGTTAACATGTCTCTGTTCCTTAAAAATGCGCACCAAAAAAAACACTGTTCTCATGATCTCAAGCACATTATGTTTTTCAGTTTACTATAAATCTCAATCAGGATTTCTGCTTTCTCCATTTTCCATCAGTGCAACAGCAATCAAATATTTATTCCCCCCTTCAAATTTCCAGTAAACAAACTTATATTAGCTTGTAAAGACCCTGTTGTGATTTTAATTCTTGTGGACTTCCTTTTTTGTTTTGCCTTCTCATGCCAGTATTTCAGACTGGTCTTTTATTTGAGCAGCTGTTTTCCTGTTTCACCACAAGATGTCGCTGTGACACACTTTCAACTAACGCTATTTTTCTCATACGTAGCTGTTGCAAATTGCCAACGGATGTAATATTTTTCTTCTCTAAAAGTCCGAAAATATATATATATATATTATTTTTATATACTGAATATATTCTATTACTTTATATACTGAAGCTATAAACATGTGCTATCAGAAAGCAAGCATGACAAGTGCAAGGTATCTGTAACAACTTGCCTCACTTCACACCAGTTTTGCACAGAGCAGTTTTGCAGTACTTTCCAAATCATTCTGTGGTTTCCTGTGTCATGTAAATCAGGCATGATGTGCTCAGTGTGGTGAGTGACACTGGGCAAGTTGTTCAGATTCACCTCTGTGCTTTCTGACACACCTAGGAAAGAAAACCAGAGAGGTGTGAGTTACTGAGCTGGCAATGAAGAACATCCATCCTCTCCTTTTTGCAATTGCTCACTCCCTGCAATATGCTGCTGATTTCTGTTTTTCCACTCACTTCTGTGCGCTTGCTGTTTCCAAGAGAAGTGTGCCGTGTCCTCTCTGCAGCCCCATTTAAGGTCTTTGGCCCCTGTTCCAGTGGCACCTCTAGCCCCCATAGGCATTGGCACTGCATGTGGGCCCTCATCATGACTTGTCCCTGTCCCTTCCTGTCACTGCCCCACAGTTTCCTGACACCTGGGACTGCCTTGGATGTCCACTCAGTCTGTCCTAGCTCCTTTCTGGTCCTGCTTGGCCACTTCCATCCCTGTCAGGGAGGTGAGTAAGATGGGATCCTGCCATGGGGTGGCTAACTTACAGAGCATGCAGTACCAGCCTCACACACAAGAGAGCAGGGATTACTCTTCAGGATGAGGATTTAAAATCGAAGGATCACAGAAGCACAGAACAACAGAATGGTTCGGATATGAAGTTTGAACTCTCACCACTGTGGGAAGGTTGCTCCCCACCAGCTCAGGATGCCCATGGCCCACCCAGCCTGGCCTTGAGTGCCTCCAGGGAAGGGCACCCACAGCTTCTCTGGGCAGCTGTGCCAGTGCCTCACCGCCCTCTGAACAACTGCCTAAGATAATCTACTCTCTTTCAGTTTAGAACCATTACCATGGTGTCCGGTCACCACTTGCCCTTGTTAAAAATCCCTCCCCAAAATCACCTCAGGAGTCAACTGATATGGATATAAATTGCAGGACTGGTGTGTACAGTGCACATTATACATATTTGGCCTATACATCAGAAGTCCTTCAGTGTTGTGTTGTCAAAACTGAAAGCCTGGAAATTCCAAGTTAATGGGATGTTTGTATTTTAGGAGAGAATGTTCTGGTTGATGCACTCTCCTCATTACCAGTGAAGATGTGAGAAAGATGGAGTTAATTCCCGAGGCCCTCAGTGGGAAACAGAAATAGAGATTGGAACATAGAAGAAACAAGGATGAGAGAGCACAAAGAAGTGAGGCTACATTACCAAAATCTTTCTCTGCCCCTTAGAGTAGAAAAGAGTCATATAAAAATTTGTACAGCTTTGCGTAAGACATCGATTTTGTGGGGTATTCAAAGCATCTTTCATGCTAATTAGACCAGAAAGACAGTTCCAAATATGCTTAGCATAGACATCTGAAGGGCTAACACAACTGTTTCTGGAAACAGATGTAGCTGTCCCACATTAGTTGTTAGCTGTGCTGGAGTTGTTTCTCTTTGCAGCTGAAGCATGAGTAAAGCTTAACTTTTCACTGGAGAAAATGGGAAAAATAAAAGTAATAATAAAAAAATTAAACAGAGAATGCAGTACTCCTGCATAGTGCATTTATTAAGGAAAAGTAAAGCCTAAGTAAAATAAGTCTATCATCAGAGAATTCAGAAGGGACAGCAGAACTTTCAGTAGTTTCTAAAAGTATTATATCCTAACCAACCAGGCACACCACTGCACGTGAGGGTTAAATTTTCCTCATCAAGTGAATCACCAGCTTGCAAAACAGAAAACAGCTGCTGAACAGATAATGGGCAACATCCCAGGTTATTTTTATCCCTGCATAGGAAACCATATATTCAGAATTGCATTTTTAAATGATTTCTAGAAGACAGTTTGACAAGACAAAAGCCAGTAGTTGCATAAAGCAGCATGTCTCGCTTCCTTCTCACAGTACTCAAATCAATGAGTGAACATTAAGAAAAGTTATCTTGAATGCTTGACCTACCTCTGAAAATTTCCTTACACTGCAATGCAGCCTTCAAGAGTCAAAAATACAACTGCAATCACAGAACCTTAATTACTGATACATCCAGTATTCCTGCTCTGTTATCTACTCAATACAGAAGCTCATTTGTGATTACTGTTGAAATTCAGCTGCCTAATTCTGCATAAATGAATCCATCAGCAAACAAACATGGCATATAAATTGGCTTACCACTTTCATGATAATCAAAGAGGTAAGATTAAGAGAGAGAGCTCTGAAGAACAAAGCCAAACGAGAAGGACTGAAAGTATTCGAGCATCAGTGCAATTTAGGAAAATAGTGAAGTTTCTAGCAAGCAGTAAATTTGAAGGTTCAAGCCAGTAAACCTCAGAAAACTAAAGCTACTGAAACAACATGATAGTATTAAGGATTTGAAGTTTTCTTTATATTCTACCAAAGAAAAGCATCTGCCTTCTGGAAGCTCTGAAACATAAGCCTTCAAGCTCCTGGCACTCTAGAGTCTGATTCCATGGCATGCTGTGGAAGACTGCTGTGTTTTTAGGCTATTGTAACTGTGACTGTCCTTTGGCTCCCTAGGCAGGGATGGTTATGTTTCCCTCCTTCCTCCAATGAAGTTGTGCACAAAGCATGTATTTTACCTATGTACAACCTCTGCGATAACATCTAATGCACTTTAATTTATAGCTTGCCTAACCAAAAATTTACACTAACAGCATAAATGCTGCTGTGAAGCTAATTAAACTTCCTCCCTTAGTATAATGCAATAACTATGTATTTTCATTAGAAGAAATGTATAGTTAATCTGTATTGCAACGTATGCTTTAGAAAAACTGAATAATTAAATGCCCATTTAAATGCCATTTACATTACTTCTCTACTCATTGTTTACAACAACAAAGAGCACTATTGCATTCACTAGAAGAGCACTGCTTTTCTGCTTTTACTACTTACACATGGAAGCACATATGAAAACTGTTGATGCCACTCAAGACCGAAGCACTATAAATAGTTCTCTGTTGTTAGAGGATAGGAGATGAAACAGGTCTCATGGCACTGGAGCACAGCATGTCCTATCAAGTGCCTGTGCTCTGCCTGTGCTAAAAGCGAGAGGTGACATCAAGTGATCAGTTAGCCTGCAAGCAAGGCACACGCCTGGGGAGAGTTTGGTCTAACTGTAGGTTCCCTTAGGCAACAGGAACACAGCAACTTGCCTTTTTGCCTCAGCAATGGCAGAAGCTGTTATAAGACACTGGGTGGAAACTCCTGTACGCTATCAAGAGCAGTTTGCTGCCGAGGAGCTGGAAGAACACAAACTGAATCACTCTCTTTATGCCTTGCCGGGACCTTTTACAGCTACACTGAGCAGAAGAGGGCGAATTACAGAAAGTACAGATGGGGCTGAGGCAAGTGGCCAAGAAGAAAAAAAGACGGGCTTTCAGGTCTTGCTGGATGTTGTGCAGTTTCGCCCAGAAGATATCATTATTCAGACTTTTGAAGGCTGGCTCCTGATCAAAGCTCAGCATGGACCCAGGATGGATGAGCATGGCTTCATATCCAGAAGCTTTACCAGACAGTACAAACTGCCCGATGGAGTGGAGAACAAAGATTTGTCTGCGCTATTCTGCCATGATGGCATTTTGGTTGTTGAAATGAAGAACTCGATGGGAATTAATTAGTCTTGACAATTGGTGAGATAAATTTATTCTTAATATCACAAATGGTATTATTCAAGCAATGCTGTGGAGTGTAGAAAGCGTGTGGCTGCGTTAATATTACAGAAAAGGAAAATAATCGTATATATTTTTCAGTATGCTGAATTTGTTGTTTGATGTGAAATGTTAGACTACTTGTCCCCAGCTAAGTATATGCTGAATAGCCAGATTTTTTGAGCTGTAGAAAAGTTAGGCTAATCACAGTATGAGAAAAAAAAAAAAAAAAAAAAAAAAAAAAAGATATATTTGATAATACTGAAAATAAAGCATATTTAAGGGTTCATTTAAGGATTTGTATTTCTAAGCAGTAACTGTTTGTAATATGCAACCATAATCATTAAAGAAGCAATGAACAGGTTGTGAGTTTTATACCAAAAATGTGTTTTATATAAGTTTTTTTAGATTAGTTTTCTCCTGCAAAAGCACATAAAATAAACTTTAAAAAAAAAAAAAAATCACTGTTCAAATTTATAAACAAATTATCCATGAGAGAGTACGTTTTACATGGGTTACATATTTGAAAGTATACAAAAACAAAATAAACACTGACTACTTTGTTTGAAAATGTAGTAAGTAGAAGCGATATTTTCTGTCAAAGACGAAGGAAATACTGTAAAAGATTTGGGAAACTGTTTTTGTTTAACACATTGAGATATCTGTTAGCAACTAAAGAAAAAAATATACTGCTTATATAAATCAAAAGGACCAAGCCATTATTTGTGAATCCCTGCTAATAAAAACACACAACTGGAGTATGGATGCCTTGATTACTATTCACTGTCCATCAATCAGTTGAATATTCTTTGTGTTGCTTGGCAATGTAGGCTGACACACCTTGACTATATATTAAAAACTTTTCTGCTAACCTTTTCTCTCACACTCTCTATGGGCTCTAAATGGATCCAATTTTAAGGGATTTATTACAGACACATGTCTAATTTCTCTCTCATCTAAAAAGAGTGGTAGAAATTAAAAAACATCTGTCCACTATTCCTAGTATCTAGACTGCTCAACCTTTATAAAAATGCTCCATGTGAATTTGCAAGTGCTCAAATATTTGAGAATATCTGCAGTTGCAAATTGAACTGTCCCACATATTCAGGAGATAAGTCTGACTGCTGTGCTATGAATAGTAGAGGAATGTGGAAAGGAAAGTGCCAAGTTAAATACAGACTCTTTTTGATAGCCATCTGCTTTATGGCCAAATGAAAAACATACTCTAATGAAATTGAATATCAATACAATTTGAAGACCACGAAAAAAAATTTCATGAACAAAACTCTGTCTCTCACCAGCTGAGTTTCTCTCAAAGCTGAGTTCTTTGAGTTTTAAACAAAAGCCTGAAGTGTGTACTTCTGCACACATCCATTCATTGGAAAGATTTATGTCGTGACTGCTTAGACTTCAAGGCATTTGAAAACAGTTCACTTAGAAAAGCGAGGAGTCCAATTTCTTGTATTTTATTTCATATTTGTACTAACACGAAATTCATGCAAAAAAAAAAAAAAAAAGAGCAATTATTTTATTGTTGTTGTTGTTTTAGTAGAAGTCAGAAACAGTTGTTTTCTACAAAACTAGGCTAAATAAAATCATATGTCCGTATATTTTCATTCAATCCACACTTCTAATTTATATTGCCTGTGTTTAATTTAAGGCAACAAAAGGACAATCATATTAGAAAATTAGGTCTATATTTAAATGCTTCAGAGTCAGGAAGCTTCCCCAGCCAGGGATCCCCTGGAACACATAGCATGGATTAAATGAATTCTAAATGCAGGTCTAGATTTAAATTTTGAACAACTTTATAAAAGCTCATATGTTCAGAGCCATGGTTTCCATATAACCTTATGGTACAACTGTTGGGCTGCAGCTCAAAGCAACTAGTTAGTAAACTGCTTTGGTGGCTTTTGTTTACAGAGAATATTTGATCATTTAAAATCACAGACATATATAAAAATGACTCAACTTGTGGGGCTGGTATTTCTTGCCCTAGAGATTTTTTAAAAGTATTTTTAAAAGAAACAAAAAACACATAAGTGACTTAATTATTTTAAATTAGATCATGATTAAACTACTGGAAACTTGGCAAGGAGTTTGATGAGAGACAGCCAAAATCGCACCGTTTGCTCTCTGTGTGTAAATGCCACGGTTACACACACAGTTACACAGCTCTGCTCACAAAACGAGAGAACATTTGACATTTGCCTGCCTCTGTTGTCTCTTCACATCACTCTGTGTCCAATTCCGTACTTGCTGATGACACTGTCCATCCAAACCCAGAGGAAAGTGCTGACCCAAATGCACGAAGGTTTGTACACAGCTATGTTTCATCTTCTTCATGAATGTCCTTCCTCATGTGTGGGAATAGCAGCAGCATGATGGCAAACTGAGACTATGCTGTAATACAGACCTGACCCTAACTCCCGTAACACAAAGCAGAGGGAAGTGCTTCTGTCATTTGTTTAGCTTACTGAAAGCTTTGGGACGAATGATTTCTATACGTTTGCCAGAACAGCCTCTAAATACCTGGCAGAGCTCTTTCTTCTGAATTGTCTGTGAGGAACTGTTTCCATTCATCAAATGTGATGTTAGACTTTAATAACTTGATTACAACTGAATGCAAACATCAAGGAGAGAGCTGTAAATACTGTTCATGCACGGTGAACAGTGAAATTTGTACATAGCAAAAAGATTGCAGAACAGTTACAGCTTACGGCAGGTTTAAGCCACACTGATTTGATTAAATTAAGGATCCTGATATTGGCTATCTGCAAAAGACTGGCCCACAATAACCAACATAGGCTGTTGCAAGCAGTGCAGAGCAAGTTACTGAGCATTCTTTGCTCCCATCAGTGAAGGATTACCTTCGTAATTGATTGGGCTATTCTTCCAAATTGAGTCAAGAGGATTTCATGCATGAATCTAATCACTGTGATAAATGCTCTCATAGAAGAAAATGTCTCAGTATCAGCACAAGTTGACAAAATCAAGGTCACAAACACATTTCTGGGTGACCCCTATGAGCAAAAAGGCAAAATGTCTTGGGCTTTCAGGAATCACCTTGCCTTTTTATAGAATCTGCCTTTTCCAAGTCATGTGAGACAACGCTGCACATCCCAATACTTGCAGTGCAGGGAATTGAGTCTGACATGGCACTCATTATCCACTCAATCACAAGTCAGCTACAGCTCTCAATATTGGAAGAGAGGAAAAGAAAACCCTATGGTAACTGCGGTAACAAAGTTCCCTTTAGGAGGAACAGGCCTTCCAATCCTTACTCAGTTCAGTGCTGGAAATCAAAATACACTTTTTATCTGAGTAACACAAAATTTATCTTTTAACAAGAGTGGAAGAATTTCCGAAAAATATTAAGTGTGCCTTCTCAATTGAAAGAGACATTTGCTTTAGTCTTACTAACTGCCATGCGTAATGTCTGCCTCCGGTCATCCAGAGGACAGTATCTCAGCAGCCTTACTCTGAAAGAAGGGGGGAAGCCTGAGGGCTTAGACCATGTGCCTTACAACTGAGAAACCTGAGCTGGATGTACCCATGTTAACTTTGGGGCCAGAAGTACCACCAGTCTTTGCCAATCCAAGTCCAGAAAGCCTGGATCATCCATTGCTGTGCATAAACTGCAAACAAACAAACAAATAAATAAAATCCCTCATTTTAAATATTTTCATGGATGAAGAGACAGGAGAACCATGGTAGTACAACTTAGGACCCCCATTCAGATTGACTCCAGATCAGGGCTTTCAGTCTCAGCTCCACTGTGGGTTGCAGCCTTACCACAGTTCCCATCAGTCATCAAAATGCCTTCCTAAGCCCGTTAAAATGTTAATTAAAATTAAAGTCTGGTATTTCTCACATACACAACCACACAGTAATAATGCTGATGATCATGTTTTCAGGGAAAAATATGTCCAGTAGCCACTTCCACATGCAGAACTGATACAAGGAGAGAATCATTTACAGTTTTCCTGACTTCTTCTGTTTGCTTACTGTACTTTGGGCTGACACTGGTGAGCAGTCCTGCTCTGCTGATGAAGCATGCCATTCCTCAGCCCTGTAAACTACTATAGAAGGAGAGCGGGCACACAAAGAGGAGACAGAAAACTGTAGGACATGGCGGCCCCGAAAAGTTCACCAGCGCTGTGTTCAAGAAGGAATAAGGAGCAGGAAAAGCCCTCCAATTAATATGAAATATATATTTACATATTTTAATATTTTAAGGTACAATATTTCAACTTTCTGTGAGAAAAATCTGACTGTTTTTAAAAAGAATGCATCTTTAAATGGCTAAAAAAGGCATTTTGAAATGGCTTTAACAAATTTAGGTTATTAATAGAACCAGAATGAGAGAATAAGACATCCACTATCTTCAGCTATGTTTCCTTCCAATTGCACATTCTGATAATTTTTCCATCCATTAATCCTGCACTCCCTCAGATAATCAGGGATACCATAACACAATCTCCAAAGGTTTTTGCTTAAGTAGAGCTGTATGCCACTGGGGTTGCAGTGTGAGTGCCCTATCTAAACCAGCTACTCTGAAGTTATTACTACAGGCATAACCTCACCATTGCAAGCTGGTTTGCCAGCTTAGAGTAAAGCAGAAAACATGTGCAGCTGTCCCCAGTTCTGCTTAGAGGAGCTTTGATCCAAAGCGATGTATCACAGGTGCCACTACACAGCCGACAGGGCCATCTAGTGTCTAGCTCTCACACCGTGATAGCACTGCTCAGACAGCTAATTGAGATATCCCAGCAAGCTTCCACAGATGAAAGAGCAGGGGAAACACGACACCAAATCAGCCAGCTGGTGCCATTTGGAGGCAGCTGATGTACCACAGCGTTCAGTGTTAGTGCTGCCCGCATTAGTGAGACTGACCAAGAGGCAAGACAGGATGAGAAGATATTTTGAGGTTCACTGGCAATAATTACTCTAATATTTTTCCATTTGCC